GAGGGTACAAACATTTTGGTTCCATAAATTGCTTTTGCACTGCTTGAATCAAAATTATACGTGTGCCCATCCCCCAGATGGTGTGCATTGTGCCCATTAGGTGTGAGTTTACCCATCCCCTCCTCCCGCACCACCTGCCTGATTTCTCATGACTGTTACTTCCACACGTGCACACGAGTATTGATCAATTAGTTCCAATTCCATGGTGACCGGGGAGGATCTTCCATTCTCCCGTCTGCTGCTCAGCACCTGCTCCCACACACCCCCCCAGAATGTAGGTTTGGTTCACAGCTGTGTCCCCGGTGTCTGTAACTCGCTAGGTCTACGCCAGGGGAATGAATGAATGAATGAATGAATGACTATCTCTTTGGCTCAAGTGTTTATTCCCTTGCACCCTCTGCTCCCACTCAAGCCTCCACCCCTCCCCCTCCCCATCTGCGCAGGGGCTGAGCGTCCCCTAAGGGCCTGGCCGGGCACGGTGTGGGCTGTGCTCTGAGGACAGGAGGAGCAGCGACTCCCAGGGAGGCCAGAGGCCTGGTGTCCCCGACGTCCTCACTGCCCGAGAGCGGAGGGGTCGGGAGGGCTGGAGGCCCTGAGGTGTCGCAAACCTTCTGCAGGAATGGGGCCGTGGTGGCACAGGGGCCTGTGGGCCCACCAGGAGCCCCTGCAACGGGTCCCGACCGGACTCGAGCCCTCCCTCCTCCACCTTCCCGTCTCCTGCACCTTCCCTCCCCACTGGACACGACAGGAAGTCAGCGATCATGGTTGCCTGAGTGGGGCAGATCGCAGGGGTCACCCTGAGGGCCAGTGTAGGATGGAGGGAGGACCCGAGGGGAGGACTCCCAGACCCGTCACTGCACTTTGCTGCTCTGATCTCCCGCACGGGCACTGTGGCCTTGTCTCCGGCGTCTTCTGCAAAGTGCTCCATACACAGCTCCACGAAAGGACAGGAACCCTCTTCTCGGCAATGCTGCCCTCCAAGTCCCCCGCGTGGAAATTCCAGAACTGAGGTGTGCGTCTCAGCTCCTGCCAACTGTTCTCCCCCTGTTGAGAGGGCGCAGGGGGAGGGCAGGTGACCTGGGTACACAGCGACCCGGAGACACGCTGACAGGCTGGGCCTCTTCCAAAAAAGACGTACTGGGGCCCCAGACAAGCAGCTCCAGTGTGCAGGGACTCCAGAGAGCCGGCGGGGCCTGTTCCCTCTGGGCAGACGCGAGCTCACAGCACGAGGGCCAGGGCAGGAGTCGAGGGAGACGGTCCCTGGGCTGGCCCAGCTCGGGCCCCTCAGGCCTGAGGGGTGGGCCTGAGCTCCACGCTGGGGTCCCTACAAGCAGCTGCCCCAGGCTGGAGGGGGCCTGTGTCCGGGGCGCTGGTGACGGGCAGGCTGCGGAGGGAACAAAAGCCAGTGAGTGTGAGTTTCAGAGCCTGGGGTTCCGTGAGGACGCCTGGGCGCAGCCCCAGCCACCGTGAGCCTGAGTCACTCTCTCCCCAAATCCAGCTCTGAGGCAGGACTCGAGGCCCTCACTGGGGCTTAGCTGGCAGTGGCAGGAGGACACAAGGGCAGCCAGTCCTGGGACTGCGCTGACTCCCCTGCTACACAGATGGCTGTCGAGTGGTGGGGGACGACCGCCTGGGACCCTGCAGCGGGACCTCGACCACACACAGGGTCAGCCCGGCACGGGGTCACATGGGATGTCTGGAACAGCGGCAGAAGGACGAGCAGGGATCTGGCGAAGCAGGGAGACGCAGACCGGCTGCTGTGATGGTCACGGAGTGTCCGGCACTGCTCTGCACACAGCAGTGACCGAACACATGCTGCACGGGTGGATGGCCAGAGGGATGTTGGTGGGGGGCAGATGGCCTGGATGGCCTGCCCAGGGTCCAGGGACGCAGCAGTGTCTCCCCCCACCCCCTGCCAGCACGGCCACTCCCGCCCCACCCCCAGGCCGTCTGCCCCGTCACCTGACCAGCCCAAGGAGCTGGGCCTTCGTGCCGGAGTGGAACTCGAGAGCCGAGCTCCTCAGCAGGCCCCGCAGCCAGCACAGGTCCGCCGGCACGTCGGGCAGCCACGCCACCAACCTGGAGGAACGGCGGCATCAGCTTTGCCAGGAAAGCCCCCGTGCGTGGCCCCGCTGAGCCCACCTTCCGCATAGGCCCAGAGCAGAGCCGGGGTCCCTGCACCTGAGGGCTGCCCAGACTGGCGTGACAAGTGCCCAGCGGTGTCGGCCACCATGGCAGAGCAGGTCGGAACCACAGGGACACCTGCGGTGGCTAAATGATCCACGATGGGCTTTGAGCTTGGTGGAGGCGGCCAGGCCTTGGGTCGGCAACTGCACGGGGAGAGGCCCAGCGTGGAGAGGGCGGGGCTCTGGGGTCAGGCTGGCTGGGGGCTGCCGCCCAGCTGCCCCGCTCGTCGGCCGCGCCACCCGGGCAGGTCCGGAAACCTGTCTGGCCCTGTTTTCTCACCTGTCGAATGAGGACGGTCACCTCGCCTGTGGTTCCTAACTTCCTCCATGTCTCCACTCCTTCCTTCCTCCCTCTTCTCCCCACACCAGCCCCTGTCCTCCTCACCCTCGCCCCTTCGTCCGCTCTCCACTCAGAAGCCAATGACTTTCCTAAAACACACACTGACCGTAGCCCACTCTCGCTCCGAATGCTCTCTTTGCTCCCCCCTGCCCTCATGACGGAGCCAGCAACAGATCTGGGGTGCTCTCAGCTGCGTCGTGTTTCGCTGCCGAGGAAAGCAAGGGTCTGCCTGCAGAGCCAACACCCACAGGGACAGCAAGGGGCCAGGTCATCCAGCCACAGCTGAGAAAGCGCTGGCCAGGCACCTGCTCAGATGCTGCAGCGCCTCGCCCTGTGCCATATCACCCTCGCAGGGGCCCCTAAACCTGGGGCTCAAACTAGGCACGCAGTCCAGAGGGTGTGGTGTGACAAGTGAAACATAAGGTGAACCATCACCTCCCATGTTCTGGACCTTCTGCCTCTATTAATGCAACCTCCACATTTTGAGCATGTGTTTTATGGAAAATACCAAGGGTGAATTTCCCTGTAGTCTGGGCAAGCTCCACATTGGTGCTCACACATGGATTCTTATTTTTTTTAACTGAAAAGGCTAGACTTTACATTTATTCTTTTTTATTTCAACTTGTGGTTTCAGTAAACAGCTCAGCATGAGGAGAATCTGTCAGTAGAAAGCTCTCTCCCAGGCCCACACCTGTAAATGCCAGCACTTTGCGAGGCCAAGGCAGGAGGATCACTTGAGGCCAAGAGCTCAAGTCCAGCCTAAGCAACAAAGCGAGACCCTATCTGTACAAACAGTAAAAAAAAAATTAGCCAGGCGTGGTGGCATGTGCCTACAGTCCCAGTGGGAGGATCACTTGAGCCCAGGAGTTCAGGCTGCAGTGAGCTGTGATTGCAGCACTGCGTCCAGCCTGGGACCACTGCCAATTTAAACAGCAGGGCCGACCCGATCATCAGCTCAGTGGGGAGCAGGACAGAGACCAGGGGCTCACTGTCAAAGATCTTCTTCCACAGAGCAGAGAAGTTTTTAAATTACAGATCTCCCCATGACACATTCCTGCTTCAACCCTTCACCACTTTCCCACTGCTCTCAGGATAAAGACCACACTCCTCATCTGGCGACAGAGCCCTGTGTGCCTGCCCCTGCCAGCCCCCTCAGCCGCATCTTGTACAGAAGGCCACCATTTGGCTCCAGCCATGCTGGCCTCCCTTCCTGTTCTCAAATCGGCCCTACTCACTTCTGCCACAGGACCTTTGCACATGCTGTCCCATCTGCCTGGAGCGCTTTTCCCTTCCCTCTTTGCTTAGTGGACTCTGACCCATCCTTCGGATTATAACCCCAAGTCATCTCCTCTAGGCAGCCTTTTCAGGCTAGATAGCCTCTAGTTTGAGCTATGCCAGCTCGAAGCCAGTGTAGACTTCTCTCAGGTACCTCTAGGTGGAGCTGTAATTGCACAGGTGAATGTGTGATGATTTGTGGGCTGTGAGCTCCATGAACACAGGAACTGGGTCTGGGTCAGTGCTGCCTCCACAGCCCCCAGCCAGGCCTTGGCCCCTAGGAGGTCGTCAATAACTATTGGTGGAACGAATGAATGACTGATGCAGCGATCCACTAATCAGCAAGTTAGAATGGTTACTGAGAGTTTAACCATAGCCAGTCTGACTCGGAAGGGCCTTATTTTATAGAAAAGGAAACTGTGGCCCAGAGAGGTCAAGCGACCTGGCCCAGGCCACACAGCTAATCTAAGCTAGGCCAGCTCCTAGGGTTACTCTCAGGAATGGCGCATTGTCTCTGAGGCTCTGCCAGGTGGAGCCATGAGCCAGAGGTCACAGAGACAGGGGAGGGCCGGCTTCTTATCACAGCAGTCCCACTGCCTCCCTGTCAGTCTGGTTTTACAGAGGGGACCACCAAGGCTCTGGGTCCGGCAGCCAGCCCCAGGAGCATGGGAAGACCAGCCAGGCTCGCACCCACCTTGCCGTGCCCGCCAGCATGCCAGCCGCCCTCCCGCAGGGGCGCCGGGCTCCGCCACACCCCACTGCAAGCCAGACCAACCCCGGCTGAGCCTTACCGTCTGCACCGGAAGTAGATATACTGCAAGGGCAGCGTGCAGGGCAGCAGCAGGTACGTCAGCACCCGTCCAGGTCCCGAGCGGCGGCAGCGGGCCCAGGGGCTGGGGTCCCGCATGCAAGCTTTCTTCAGCGCTGCAAGAGAAGCCACAGCACGGCCTGCCCACCTGGAGTCCACGGACTGGCAAGCCCCCCCCAGCCCTCCAGTGAGCCCCTCAACATCCCCCTGAGGGGGATGCGATTGTCCGTGAGATGTGCAGACTGTGCTCCTTTCGTAGATAAGGAGACTGAGGTTCAGAGTGGAGAAGTGACTTGCCTGAGGACCATCACCAGGACGTGGCACAGCCAGGATGGACTCAAGGCCTATCAGGCTCCTGAGCTCTTTCCACCTCTCCTGCCCCTCTGGGAAGTTTGTCGTGGCCCCTAGGATAGGACAGAGGCCCTCGCCGCACCTCCTTCAGCAACAGTAACACATCGGCATTACTGACAACTGCAGCGCAGCCGTGGCCGCGGCATCCGTTTCCCGAGCCCTCTGCTCGCTGACCTGACCAGCGTGGAAAGGATCGGCGCCTGGGACGGGACGGACCAGAGCCCAAGGCCCAGCCCCCAGAGCACGGCCCGGGCCACGGCTCACACCACCGACCTCGACTTTCGTCAGCGCCGCCCGCAGACGTTGCTTCGGAGGGCTCGGTGACGGCACAGTCCGCAGACCCGACTCCGTGTCTGCCGGCCGCGTGTGCCGGGACGAGTCCTCTCCCTCCCCTGAGCCCGGGCCCCCTCTTCTGTGAAACGAGGGTTCCATGGACACATAGGTGAGGACTACGGGATGTCTCTGAGGGCCGGGACAGGGAACAATTCCCTTCCCCGCGGGGACCCGGAGTTGGCAGCCCATCTCAGGGCAGCCCTCTGGTGCCCCCATGAGGCTGAGGGGACACTGCCGGGGTTCCGGAATCCCAAGCGCGGACCTCAGGGCTCAGCACAGCCCCGGGCCCACTTCTACCCACGCTTGTGTGGTCTGTGGCACAGAAAGGGGTGCGCGCCCTCCTTGTCCCCTCATCCCCTCGCCCTTCCCCGCTGTCTCTGCTCTGGCCTCGACCACCGTCACCTCTTCTCCCAGCCCCCACCCTTCAGTCTCGCCCCTCCCAGCTGGGTCCACTGCAGCCCCCAGCGGCTCCCACCTCTCTCCTGCCACAGCTTTCGAGGCCTCCTGCCCAACCCTCCCAGCCTCCGAGCTCATGTCCGCCGCCTGCCCCTCGACCACTGTGCTGCGGCCACACGGACCTCCCTGCTCTCCCTCCCCAAGCCCAGGACTTTTGCACGTGCTGTGCCCTCTGCCCAGGCGCTTGTCTCCTCCGTCACTTTGCCTGGCCAACGTCTCCTTTCCAGCCTCACTTAGATGCTACTCACATCACCACCGCCATCGTTATACGTGCCTAGGGGACCCTGCATTTTCCTGTTGCTGCAAATGGTTCAGAGCAGAACTCCTGGTTCTGCCATTTGCTAGCTGTGTGACCTTAGGCAAGTCACTTAACTTCTCTGTGCTGTGGTTTCCTCCTCTGTGCAACGGGGGCAGTTCTGCACCATCCTCAGAGGATTGGTGGAAATGAGGCCACCCCTGCCTGGGGAGTCCAGAGCCCTTAGCGTGTGCCTCTGCTATGTCCCGGGCAGCGGGCAGAGACCTGGCTTTCCCAGGCACAGACTTGGGTTCGAATACCCCAAGTGCATGCTCTGGGACACTGGAGAGGCCCTTCCCCTCTCTGGTCGCCAGTTCCTCATCAGTGAAAAGCGGGCAGAGTGACGCTCAGGCCCCCGTTGTGTGAGGAAGGAGCGACGCGGCACGTAAAAGGCCAGCGGCGCCACACCGGGCACTTGGGAGGTGCTCAGGGAATGAGTCCTGTCTCCTTCCGGCCCCGAGCCCGGCCCCTGAGTGCAGGCCCCGCCAGCCCTACCAGCCTCCAGCTCCGGCGAGAGCTGCTCGAAGTCCGGCACGTCCTTGACCTGCACGCTGGGCGTGTCCCAGTTGAGATGCCGGCCGGCCGTCTGGCCTCGGTCTCGGCTGGCGTCCTGGGTCCCATCCACCGGGGCCGGGGGCTCCTCAGACACAAGTGTCCACAGCACTGGTTCCTCGGTGAGTCCTGGTCAGGGAGGGAAGGGATATGACAAGTCAGTGCATTTGGAGCCTCCTGGGGGGAAGGACACCCTGGCTGTCGTGCCGTCCACGGCCCTCCGTGCCCAAACCCAGGCCTGGGACTGCCGCTGCAGGGTGCGCCCACGGCTCACCCTGGTTACCTCTCCCTGCCCCTCCCCGGCCCTGCTCGGCTTCCGCTCCATCTCCTAGTGGTTTGTCAGAGCTCAGCCCCCGAAGACACAGTTCAGGGTCCAAGTTCTGGCCCTACCACCTGCAAGCTATGTGACCTAACCCCTCCATGCCTCAGTTGCCCTCTCGGTAAAAAAAGGAAAATTAAGACCTGCTTCATATGTCTGTTCTTAGCATTAAATGAGATAAACACATAAAGCTCAAACCCAGGTCTGGGCACATGCTAAGTGCTCAGCAAATGCTTCCTGCTTCTGTGTGTTTGGGGTCGGGGACGTGAGTTCCGGAGCCAGATGGCCCGGGTTCGAATCTCGACTTTGCCACTTCGAAGAGCACTGCCCTGTGGTATGACATCCAAGCTCTCTAGGCCAGAAGACTTCTCTCGCCCACACCCCCCCGCACACGCGTGTGCGCACGTGCACACGCACACACACACTGAGTTACGTGTCCTCGAGGGGCAGCCTCTGTTCCTCTGCTCTTGCTCTCCTTCCCTGTGCCTGGGACGCCCTCTTCCTTTCCCTTCTCACCTTGCCGCAGTCTTCAGAACTGGTCAGAACCCAGCTTGTCTGCCACCACCTCCAGGAAGCCCCCCTTGCCCACCTCCCCAGCCCCAGGCCGGGTCAAATGCCCCTCTGGACTCCCGCAGGCCTGAACATCTTCCTTCAATACGCTCACCCCCCCCCGGGTTGTCTCTGGGTCCGTCCCCTGCGCCAGGCCGCCACTGCCCGAGAACGGGACCCCTGCGTGATGCCTCTCTGGGTCCAGCTCGAGCCGACCACAGAGCACATGCTGAGGAAGCAAAGAGTGAGCCCAGGCCCCTCGGGGCTCCAACGCCTGGCAGGCAGGGTCCCCCTGGCACCATGTGGGGTGCACTCCCCAGCCACCACGGGGCCGCCACCTACCACGTCTCTCCAGGAACCTCAGGGCATCCAGGTAGCCTTGTCTGCAGTTGTCGGCCACCACCTGCCAACACACAGGGCAAGGGTGGGACGGGCAAGGCCTGGGTCTGCCCCTCGGGCTGGGGGTCAGAGGCTGAAGACTCATCTTCCGCTAGAGACTATCCCAGCCCAGCCTCTACTCCCCAAGGGACCCCTCAGCAGGGCTCGGGGGCCCCAGGAGGCCCCAGGGCTGGGCAGGGAGGGCCAGAGGCCCACAGGCAGAATAGGTTCGCTCGAGCTGCTTCCCTCCCTGAACCCCTCCGCTCCTCTCCTCCGCGACACCCTGGCTGCGCACTCTGCTCTGGCCCCTCCCCGTCCTGGCCTCAGTTCCCTCCTCTGGAAAATGGGGCGACAAGGCCTGGCCCAGGATGGCTGGGACTTCGCCTGGCTTTTTGTGGGCTCCCTTTGCCCCTTCGATGTTCACATCCAGGGCCAGCCCGAGGGGGCAGAGGCGCCCAGGAGCCCACTCCTGCCTATCTGATCAGAGCCCCACTGGTGGGGAAGAGGTGCCTGCAGGCTCGGGACGGGGCGCCCCCCATGCCCCCTTGCTGGAGGACCTCAGCACGGCCACCTCTCTGGGAGCCTCAGTTTCCTTGTCTATAAAATGGGGTTGAGACTTTCTGCCCACCCCAGGGGTGTGAGGAGGACCAGAATAAATGAACACGACCTTGTTTTGTAAATTATAAAGTGCTACAAACACGACACACGTGAGGGGTGGTTGGGGGGAAGAGCGTTTTGCAGTGATAAACTGTTGTCCATTATCCATTTTCCAGAGATACCAAGGGGCAAAAAGCAGGGAATGTGGGTTTGTTTCCCTCTGTTTTGCACTCGTGCCTGGCCTCTACAACAGATGGCCAATTTGGCCCCAATCTAGGCAGCGGTCAAGACCACAGGCCTGTGCTGGCTGTGGGTCTGGATCCTGGCTTTGCTGCTTCCAGGCTGTGTGACTTTGAACAAGTTGCTTAACCTCTCTGAGCCACAGGAAATGATAACAGTACCTCTCACAGAGCCTGGCCTGGAGACGGCCAGCTCAAATGCCAGCACGGCAGAGTGGATGTTAGTATATTCCCCTGACACGGGGCAATCCTAACTCAGGCTCAGGGAGGGACGGAAGAGCCCTAGGCTTTGGGTTCAGGTTCTTGGTCGTGAGACTCAGGACATGTGTTGCAACTGCTCTAAGGCTAGTGGGGAGCGGAAGGGTTGGGGCGCAGAGCCTGACTCAGAGTCTGACTCATGGAGCCCTTGACCATGAGGGGCCAGACTTACCTCAGGGTTGGGGGGCATGAGGGATATGAACCCCAGGAAGAAGTTCTCGGTAGAGATTTGGCAGCTGGTGTTGAAGGCATTCAGCTCGTGCAGGCTGGCCGAGGTGCTCTGGGGGCAGATGTCCACTGCCCCGTGGAAGGGGGACACGGTGATGGTGGAGGCGCAGTCCGCAAAGGGCAAGTTGTTGCTCAGAGCCCCGCTGACGTAGCGCTGCAATTCAGGGGATGCGCGGCGGTGCCACCCTCTTAGGATTCCTGCCCTCCTCCCACACCGCCACAGAGCCGCCGGCGGGGGTTGGTTGGCACGGGGGGCCGTTGGGTTGCTTTTGGGCCCTTGGTTCCCTTGGGGCCCGGGTTGTTGGGCCCCCCCAGGAGCAGGGGGAGGGCCTGGTACACAGTAGGTGCTTAAGCAGTGCTGGTTTCCTCCACCCACACACCTCTCAACAGCGTGTACCCTGGGTGGCCCGGAGCACAGGGCGGGGGCTCGGGCATCGAGCCTCCACCGCACTTACCTCCCCTCTGAACTCCGGGGGAATCAGCCCGCAGTAGAAAGGAAGGTACAAGGCGCAGACCAAGGCCTGGGAAGACAAGAGACAGCAGGAGCACGATCGTTGAGACCCTCCTCTTGCAGAACCGCCTGCCTAGGGGCTGTCGTCAGGCCTGGCAGATGAGGGGCTGAGGCCCAGGGAGGCATCTCCTCCCAGCCAAGCTCTCCGAGGTGGCAGAGATTTGAATGCAGGCCTGTCTGACACCCACCTTCCTCTTCCTGCCCGTGGAGCCCTGGCCGACCTGGACTGCGCTGGGATTGTTCTTCCCCCCAAAGACAGATAGAGGCACCCAGTACCACTCGTCCCTCATGTGTCTGGCAGCGGTTCTCCACCAAGAATCTAGGCATGTCTCCTAGAGTGTTCTCCAGACACTGATTCAACCAGATGCACCTCCAGCAAGAAACCCTATCTTTTCCATCCTCTTGGAAAACACCATTTACTCTTCCCAGTAGAGGCTCTGACAAGTCCTGCAGTAAAAAAGATGCTTAACATAGACTCTGACTCTATTGACGTTTGGGGCTAGAAAATTATCTTTTGGTGGCGGAGTGCTGTCCATGCATTGTAGGATGTTTGACAATATCCCTGGCCTCTACCTGCCATAGCACACACATGTGCACACAGTGCGACAACCAAAAATGTCCCCAACATTGCCAAATGTCCCTTGCGGAGAAAATCACTTCTGGTTGAGAACCACTGACCTGGAGCTTACCAAACGTATGGACCATAGAACTTTGTCTCCAGAACACGTGGAAACATCCCTCCTCCCCGTCTCTCCTCGTGGCTACAGAACGTGTCCCAGCTCTGACCAGACAGAGATGAAGATGAGTCTCATTCCCGAAGATGAGTAATAGTCATGGCAGCTAATGCTTACGGAGCGAGCACCCCTGTGCGTCAGGCCTGTGCTAAGTGCTACACGGGCAGGGAGTGTGGGACACGCTTTGAGATTCCCAGCTGCCATTCTCAGGAGCCCATGGATGTTAGCCCACAGCAAGGGACTGGCCTTCCCTGCACACTAAGAATCCAACGACGGCATCCAGCTAGCAGGGACTGAGGACAGTCCCCATGCTGGGCGCTGAGGGCACCAGGATGAAGTAGACTCTGTATTAGGGACCCCAGCCCCGGTGGAAGGCAAAGACCCTCCTAGGAAGGGTGAGCAGAGCCATGGTGGGGAGACACAGGGAGACACAGATAAACCTGCCCACTGTGTCGGAAAGCACAGCGGTGGGGGCTGGGCAGCACCCTCCAGAGGGGCTGCCCCTGTGGGGGCTCTGACTGCAGAAGACTCTCTGCCCCTCCCAGCCAGACCCTGCTGTGTGCAGCTCAGCGTGCCCCCGCAGCAAGCCGGGACGTCTCCAGACTCCCCCTGCTGGCCCTCTCTGCGCCTCAGTTTCCTTATTTATAAACTGTGCCCCTGCCCCCACCCCCAGCAGATGTGTCTGTCCCTGGGAGGCGCCTGGAAGTCACTCTGCAACTAGATGGAGCCCACCCACCTGCCGCCAGGCCCTGGGCCCAGCACTCGCTCACCTGGATGAGCTCATCTCGGGTGGCAAAGTCGGTGGCTATGAAGTTGCAGCCATCGGGCCAGCGGGTCAGCGAGATGCCCAGCCGCTGGGAGGCCAGGATGTGAGCGTTGTCGGGCAGAGTGTCGTGCAGCTGCCCCCGGATGTGCTCGAGGGGCGTGTAGGCAGGGTGGAAGACGCCCAGGCTCAGTTGCTCCAGCTGCTTGACCAGGCCCAGCAGCTGGGAGCAGCAGAAGTCTGCAGCGTGGGCGGGGCAGGGCGTCCTGAGCCACACCGGGCCTGCCCACAGCCCGCCACACCCCTCCTGGCCTCCCTCCCGGGTGCGATGGAAGCCAGGGTCCGCTCCAGCTCAGAATTTCTGGCCCAGACCTGGGTTCAAATGCTCCATCCACCTTTTGCCCTCAAGTGACTTTGGGAACAGTCTTCCCGGCTCCGAGCCTGGGAGTCCTCCTCTGCAAAAGGGGGTAACCGTGGTCCCCAGCCTTCAGGGTTCTCATAAGCATTAAATGAGGACCTGCTGGGTATAAAGCCCGTGGGGCACAGTGCTAGCACCAGCTCCTCTGGGCTCCCATCCACCTCCTGTCGAGAATTAGCTGCCAGTTATAGTGTCCCCACCCCTCTTCTCCCCGGTCCAGGACGCACCAACCGACTTGCCACAGATGATGCTGATGGCGTTGAGCGCCCCGGACGAAGAGCCGTAGATGCGGTGTGCACCCTGGAGGAGGCGCGGGGCGCGCTGGCGAAGGCACTGGGTCACACCCACATGGTAGAGACCCAGGTAGCCAGCACCTGCGAAGGACAGGCTCCAGCTGCCCTCCTCCTCCAAGAAGCCCATGGTGGGGCCGGGAAGGAGGGTGGGTGACAGACGAGCCGGACTGTGAAGGATCACGCACTGGTCGCTGGTCGCTGGTCAGGGATGGGGCCAGCACAGGGCCAGACGCTGCTCTGCACATGGACCAGGCCCAGATGTGGTTTTGGCGGGAGCCTGGTGCCCCCGCCCTGCCCCTGGGCTGCGTGGCTTGCAGCCCCAGCCAATGAAGTTCCTCAGCCGCCATCGCCCCCGCTCCAGGTGTGCCCCAGAAACGCCCCCACGCTGTGCGCACTCTGGCACCGCCCCCACATGCCTGCCTTAGCTCCAAATCACGGCACAGATTTCTGTTTTGTTTTGTTTTGTTTTTAATTTCAGGGTATTACCCGGGCACAAACGTTTTGGTTACATGGATTGCTTTTGTCCCATTTGGATCAAAGATATAAGTGTGCCCATCACCAAGACAGTGTGCATTGGACCCGTTAGGTGTGAATTCACCTGTCCCCTCCTCCCTCCTCCCACCCGCTTGGTTCCCACTGGAGTTTTACTTCCGCATGTGCACATGGGTGTTGATCGATTAGCTCCTGTTTAATAGTGAGTACGTGTGCTGTTCGTTTTCCATTCTTGCCGTTTTCGCTTAGAAGAATGGTCTCCAGTTCCACCCAGGTTGTTACAAAGGGTATTAGAACCCAAATGCCCATCGGTACGTGCACGGATTAACACAGTGTGGTGTATGTATAGCCTGGACTATTACTCAGCCATAAAAAAATGGTCGCAGATTTCTGGGTGACACAGCGGAGGAGTGGGACCAACTCTTCACCTGATCGCTGGTAGTCATGGCAGATGTGTTATTCCTGCCCTCATTTAACAAATGTGGAAACTGAGGCACAGCCCCGGAAAGTGAGAGCCAGGAAGTGGCAGAGCTTGACCCACAACTCCTATCCTTTGGGGTAAAACCAGACGTAACTCTGCAGTCGTGCTGGTTTAGGGACCAGGGAGGGACATGGGAAACGGGAGGCCTGGTGTCCAGACTCGGCTCCCACCAGCTGGTGGCTCTTCCCAGACTCCGCACTCTGTTTGGGCGGCAGTTTTTCAGCATAACGTGAGGGGCTTGAGTGTGAGGACCTACGGAGCCCTTTCTGCTCTGATCACAGGACCCCAAACACAGACCCTGCATCAGTTGCCCAGCCCCTGGGAGCAGCTTTGGACCTAAGACAAGCACGCGGTGGTGGCGCCAGAGTGTGCACGGCTAGGCTGCACAGGCGCCGCCTTCTCCCCGACGTGCCCACATGGGGGGCGGCCTGAACCCTGGAGAGGCCAAGGCACTCACACAGCCAGGAGGTGCCTGGAGAACTTGCCCGCAAGCCTGGCATCTGGGCGGTGGTTCTGGAAATCAAGCCGGGGCAATGAATGAAGTTGAGCACGAGCAGAAATTCTCCAACTGCTCCACGAGGGAGATGCAAGAGAGGAGCACGACAGCAGCGCTGCTGGGGGCAGTGGGCGTAGATGAAGCCCACTTAGAGAGACGAACGGGTGAAACACCATGGGCCCTGCACAGACCATCAGAGGGCCCAGGAGGTGCGGGTAGATGCAGAATGAGGTTTATTGTGTGCCACAATTTATGCAAACATTTACAAAACACTCTCTAAACGTTGCTATCTTAAGATAATATAGGCAACTGCCTGGAAGGCCACACAGTAAGAGCCTAGCGGGCATATCTGCGGGAATGGCAGGCCAGGGGGGCAGAGCGGGGAGGAAGAGGCCGTGAATAAAATAGTAAGATAAAAATGAGGGTCAGAGGGCTGAAAAGAAGGGGAGCTGGGGATGCAGCAAGAAAGAAACAGCAGAACCGGACTTGAGCCCAGGCTAGCTGGACTTGAACTTGACGCTCAGGCTCTTGCCACACACCCCCGCCCAGGAGCGAGGAGCGGGCGGAGCAGTGGGGCAGACCCTGTGGGCTCACGTAACTCTGCTCCAGGGTACAGAGCACCCAGAGGCCTCCTTCCATGGCAGTGGGGGCTGGGGGGTCAGGACAGGCCTTATGGAGGGGCCTCCGAAGGTTGAAAACCCACGTTTGCAAGTACTTCCTTCCTACCTGGCTCTGGGCTAAGTGCTTGTCCTAGGTTATCCCATTTAATCTTCGCAATAGCCCTGTGAGATGGAGTTGCCAACCCCATGTACCAATGACAAAACGGAGCCAAACCGGGAAGCTGCCGGCCCCCTCGGAGAGAAGGGGCGCGGGCAGGAGCCGGATGGGGGACCTGGGCTCCAGGCTGAGGCGCTCGGGGGGCCAGGCTGGAGGGCACAGGGTTTTACACTTGGGTAGTGCAGGCCTTTCTGCAGGACTCGGGGCAGAACAGTGCTTCTCAGAGAGCCCTTCTGGAAGGCCCAGAGAGGCTGGGGACAGTAGCACAGCAAAAGCGTGTGGTTAGGTGGCGAATGCAGAGTACGAAACAGTATATGCTCCTTTTGTGTAAGAAAGAAGGGAAATATGTAAATATTCATGTGTCTGGTTTTTCTGGTTTTTCCTTTTTCTTTTTGGAGGGAAAAAGGGGGAGAGTGGCCAAAGAGGGTGAGCCAGGAGCTAGAGATGAGCGTTTAGAACTGGGGGACGGAAGGAGTGGCGTGACCTCCACTTCCACAGCGGTGTGGATGGCAATTCCAGCCAGATAGTGAACTGTTTGTGTGGTTTGTCGGAATGAGCCAGAGAAAATATCTTGAGAAATGGGAGTCAGAGTCCTCACCAGAGGTGAGTTTCAAGCGTGGAAAGACGGAAGGCCACAGCGAGCCCTGGGCTGCAGCTGAGCACAGCAGTGTGGACTCGTGGTTACACTGACAGGGAAAAAGATGTAGGGATGTGTGTCTACTGTTCGCACACATGTATATTTTTAAGCTCTGTCTTCTGAAAAGGGCCTAGAAGCAAACAGACCCCAAAAAGAATGAGCTCGCCTAGCCTCAAGATTTGGTGTCTAAATACCATTTCACACAAAAAGGAAAGAGCTCTTCGGGAACGTGGCCGATCGCAGGGCTGGTCAGGACAGGCCCAAGATGAGCCTGGAACATCTTATACCAGAAAGCAAGGAGGTGCCCAAAACATGATGGGGACTTGTCAAAAGGACTCACGACCCAGCTTGAAGGGTAAACCTGGGACAGTTGGAGGATCACAGCAAACAAGGTTCGAAACAGAATGTTCATGGGATCCGGTAAGAATCGACGGATCCGTACTGACACAAAGAAATGAACAAATACATAGGGGAGAAAGCAAAGCTCTCCCTTACATAAAATACTAAGGAATAACTGTAGGAGGTAAGGTGGAAATGGAGAACCACCATTTTGCAAGATTCTCAGTAATAACTTATTCAGAGAGTCACGGGGGATAAATCTGTTGGGGACACAAACAGGATATTCACGGAGTTTCAGAGTCTCTCCCCGCAAATGACTATTAATTACAAAAGTAAACATAGGTTTCAGTGGATTAGCCCCACAAATCCAAGCATAAGCAAGTAATCAAAGTTGTCATCACCAGTAACAGGACAGTCTGACATCGTGAGCCTCCCGATTTGACCCTCCGAAGATGTCCACGTCCTAATTCTCAGAACCCGTGAACACATTATTTCACGTGCAAAAGGAACTTTGCAGGAGTGATTAGATTAAGGGTTTTAAAATGGAGACTATTCTGGGTTATCTGGGTGGGCCCAGTGTAATCGCAAGGGTCCTTGGAAGTTGGAAGAAAGCGAAAGAGTCGGAGAGAGACTTAACAATGCTACTGTGCTGACCGGAAGACAGAGGGAGGGACCGCAAGCCAAGGAATGTGGGTGGCCTCTAAAAGGCCCGGGGGTGGATTCTCCCCTCGACCCCCCAGGAGGAATTCAGTTCCACTGACTCCTGCTCACTGTAGCCCAGTGAAACCCATTTTGGACTTCTGACCTCCAAAACCGTAAGATAATAAATGTGGGCTATTCTAAGCCTCTGAGTTTGTGGCAATTTGTTACAGCAGCAACAGGAAACTAATAACATCACTTCTGTAGCAGTCTCGCCAAAAATGTATAACCTGAATATGATTATGAGGGAACATAAGATAAATGCAAATTAGGGACCATTCTACCCAATAACTTGCCCGTACTCTTCAAAAAAAAAATTAAGATTGTGAAAGACAAAGAAGGCAGCTCAGAGGAGACGGAAGAGACAGGACACCTAAATGCAGCACGTGCTTCTAGATCCGGGGACCACAGAGTGGGGGTGGCTGACTCGGGGGGAGGGGGCGATTCTCTGGAAATCTCTGTATCTGGGGAAAGGCTGTGGTTTAAACACGTAAGGTCAATAGTGCACATGGCCCAGGCCGTCAGCAGAAGAGGAGGAAGGGGAGGAAGTGGAGGAGGAGGAGGAGGCTGGCGGTAGCCCAGACCTCGGTACAGGCCTCTGTCCTGCCTGCTGCATCTGGCTTCCAACACACCGGGATTTCCCAAGAGTGTTTCCACCCAGGACCCAAGACCCAGGGATTTGAAAACTGGATGCCAGTTCTAAGTGGGTCCTGGACTCTGCCAGTGAGACCTGGAGTAAGTCACTGCCCGTCTCTGGGCCACCGCTCCCGCAGATCCCAACCTTTTCAAGAATGACGGTCTCTCTTAACACACACACACAATGCCCCTGGGGTGCCCTATGACAGCAGTTGTCATTTTAACATCTACTGATTGAGAAAATACTAAATGACCAAGAGTTGCTATGAACTCAGTAACACTTTGGAACAGGTGAGCAAGTTATTGGCCACAACAAGTACTAGAAGAACATTCGTCCCTGTGTGTACAAAGCGTTCCATTGACCTATCACATAGACCTGCATGGTCCCTTCTGCATAGCCGGTGCCCAGCACAGAGCTGGGCGCACAGTAGGTATCTGTGAAATGAGGCAAGTTGTCCAGATTACCACACGGGGAGACAGGCGGCATGGGCGCAGGTGGCTTGCCTGCCTGCTGGTCTGACTCCATGGGAGGCAGGCGTTGGCAGCAGAGAGCAGACCCAAGTCTCACGT